TGAAAATTTCATGCAAATATTTAAGACTGAATTAGCAAAATCGAAAAGTTTAAAATTGAATTGACATTTGAAAAAATATGTTTAAGACTGATTAGATAATTTTTTCCTTTTTTTATTAGAAGATAGGCTCGACATCTTGGACTTGTATAGGGCGAACAACTGTAATCCCCCCATGCGAGCATGCCTGGTCTATAATTGGAGAGCGAAACCAATCATCGAGCAATGTAGGCAAGAGTTGATGAACTTGGAAGGCGTTAGTCGGCTTTAATTCCTAGAACTGCAAATAGTTGTGCGCGTTGGGAACATGAGTTCGTGGTTTCGAGTGAGGAATCACTTGGGAACCAGATCGACCGAACCGAACTTGGAACTGGTTTCATAAAGCCTGAAAATCCTAATTTATCTCTCGGCACCCTCTTCTCTATCTCTATTTTTCTTTGGTCTCTCCAATCTCATTTAAACACTTCACGATTCTCTCTCTTGCTTGCGACTCACCCTTCTCCTCACTCGTTCGAGTCTCGCAACCCTCGCTCTTCTTGACTTGCCATTGCTTGTTTGCCCTCGTTCATCCTTTACTTTGAATCGTTTTGTTACTTATATTATTTTGCTGTAAAAAATGAAACAAAAAAATAACCAAAAAAAAAAATCGTTTCTCTGGTAGACCTTGGAACCGAATCGAAAAACAAGGTAGGTTCGGTTCAGTTCAGTTCTAGGACCGGTTCCAAAGCAAATATGGTAGATTTTAGGTTCAAAAAATTGAAAATCGGGTCTAACATGGTAGGTTTAAGGTTCCATATCTAGAACCTATCCACCCTGAAATCGATCACCCTTACTCAAAATGATAGAATTGCGCTCCAAGAAGAAGCGATAATCCTCTGGAAGATTTGAAAGCTCAAAACCAACTATCATTTTTGAACTAATTAGAAATCAAAATATCATTCTCTTTTTACTAATGTGATTGTAATGAATGAATTTTACATAATTTAACACATTACAACTACTTTATGGTTTGTTTATCAGGATTTCTCTCTAAAATTCGAATAAAGATAATTTTATCGGACTTTCGAGGAGCTAGATGTTTTCTGCGTGCCGCAAGGGTTCTTTGCTAGTGGAGAATTATGTAAATTGATCATGCACTTTATTCCTGAAAAATGAATAGAAATTTTATAGTCTTCACTTGTCTTTGTTTCTCAAGTTGTCCTGGTGCGGCTCCTTGGTTTTTTCCTTTCTGATTTCGAAAGGTTTTTCCACGTGTAAATTCGTGGGTCTTCTTCTCTATTTTCTTCTCTTCAACGATTTGTATTCCTTACAAAACTCCTTTGTGTAAATCGCAAATGGATCTATCATAGATGTTGTCTTTAATCAAGAACGAACTATAAGAGGGTGATAGTTCAGGGAAGTCAAGTGAAATACTTCCTTGCGGTCTTAAACAAAAGCCGCTGAATCAAGATCGATTTAGATAGTTCTTTATATTCTAAAGCATAGCTATCCAGATCGATGGTGACGGAGTTCGCTTGCGGTACAAGAAGTACACAACTACGCAAATAAATTGAGATACAACTGTAGTTCTTTGCGTACAGTCTGAAGCAACCCAGGAGAAAGGACAGGAACTTTAAGAGCTCTTCTCTCATAAATTCATCAATTTTTATGGAGAGTCCTGGTCATTGCCTAATCGTCTCTAGCACTGATAAAAAGCACATCTCATAATGTGAAAACCTGGACAAAGTAATGGAGGAGAATACTGCACCTCCTCTGCTGTGAATGCGACTAACATGCTGAGCTTTGCCTAGCAACTGTTGTAGTATATTTCTAGGTGTAACATGAAGTGATCAAGAGGTTATTCCATGTGGTTAGTGATGTTGCTTCTGATTATCATTAGTTTTGATACTTTGCAGATCAGCTGAATGACCCTGATGAAACTACAGGCACTGAACCCTAATGTGTGTCATGTGGGTTGGTGATACAGCGCAGGGTGAAGTGAACCCTTAAAAAAATCATTCCTTTTGAACCAATTATCTGAACAATGCCAATCCATCTAGAATTGAGTTTAGCCATTATAACTATATAAAGCATGATTTATATTGAAATGCCTCGAGTGTTAACCTCAGTAGCTGGTTATCACTGTCCTTTGCCTATGTTAAACAAAAACAGAAAAATGGTATAGAACTTAAATGCCCGATGAGAGGCCGATATGAAGGTTGGATGATTTCCACCAACTCAATCTTTCGAGTACTACATCTTCGTGTTTCTTTATGATTCAAGCGAAAATGAGAAACCTTTTTTTTATAACCAGTATGATTCGTCTTTGCTGAAGATGGATGAAAACGTATTAAGTCGTGTCAGTTTTTGTTAACGAGTAAAGGTGCGGAAATAATTTGTGAGCTCTTAGGAAACCCTAGAATTCCTATTCACTGCTCGTTATAACTGAATGATTATAGTAGAGGCAACGAGAAAGCTAAGTGGAATTATATATGTAAGTGGGAGTTACCTATCTTCTTCACTAATGCAAGATTGTACTGCTGAACACTAACAACCTGCAGCCAACATAGCCTAATAAACCCGCAAATCACACAACCTATATACCCTAGAGAGACAAGTCCATGTGACTATTAACTCACCAACATAGCCTAATATAAACCCTACAACCTATATAAACCCTAGACAAGACAAATCCATGTGACATTTAATCCATGGTTCTTGAAAACTTAATCATTATTATTCACTTAAGTAATTGCACAAAAACGTTGCAGCGACGATATTAATCATATGAAAAACACGAGCGAAAATACGATCAACACAATGGTTTATATGATAGCTCCATTTATGGTTTAGTTCTACGTAGTCAGGCTATGTGAAAAAAGATTTGTCATCGCTGAATCATTCTACCACTAATACAAATTCATATCTAGAAGGTTAGAAAATGTAGTTCAAATTTTCAAGGGAATTGCAAATATAAGATGCTTCAATTAACTCTGAAAGATAGAAACATTTATTATCTGGCTTATACAGCATGTGTTCGTCGTAGAAAACCCAATATACAGAAACTTTTTCATGCATTATATCCTCTGGCAAGTAATAAAGTTTACCAGCATAAAGAATCACATCGGCATATTCATAAAGATGCATTTAATGGGTTTAACCGAAGTGAAATCATGGGTAATTCTTCTTCTTCTTCTTCTTCTTCTTCTTTTTAACTTTTGCGCTTCAGCATAAATGAAGGAGGGAGAAATAAATACAAGTGAGATAATAGTCAAACAAGAGGAAATCGAAAAGGAAAGGTGGAACAATGACAAAACCCAAAGACGGAGGAACAACTTCTGAGCGCCGCCAGTGTAATCATTCTGAATGATAATCCTCTCTGACCACACTGCCTCTCCCTCTCCCTCTCCCTCTCCCTCCCTCCCCCTCTGTCCAACTTCCCAGAAAAAAGCTCTTGGAAAATTCAAACAGAATGAATAAATAAAGCAGAGCGAGGAAGATGAAAAAGCCATGGAAGAGGAGGAAACAGCTCCATTTACTTGTCCGAAAATCCCGACTTCTTTTCATTGCATGTGTGATGGGGACGTGAAGATGCAGACCAGTTGCAGATAATCCCTTTTCGACTTTTTCCCTGCGGGACAAAAGGGTGTCGAAAAGTAGGGCATTATTACCAGCGAAGCGATTATTATTATTCAAAGCAAATGTTGCTTTTCATTATGAAGAAAGTGGAAAAGAAAGAAGAAAAGGAAAGGGGGAAAGGAAAGGGGAAGAAATCTGCCCCCGTGCTCTTCCCATTGATGTTCTGCATTAATCGGGTTCACGTCACGGCTCTTTGGAAATAGTCGAAGAAGAAGACAATTACTGGCGGAATAATTGCCCCCTTAGCTGGCGGTGCCGAACCACACAAGTTAAGAGGATCGATAGGGCACATGGTAAACCCATCAAGATTTACGTGTGGATCGTGACATGACCTCAAGAAATATAATATAATAAGATGTGTCGTCTGAGTGAACTTAAAACTCAATATTCATAATAAAACCCATCAAATCTACAGTATTTGACATTGACAAAAACCAATAAGAAAGAATGGACTTAGGGCACAAAGGGTCGAATCAGATCTGGACCACTGCAATCTTGGATCTTTTCTTGGGTTTTATCATGCTGCCCTAATAACACTTGTTACCTTATAACGTCTTGGGTTTCTTGGATTTGATTCATATTACAAGATCATGTTTTTCAGCTATATGGTGTAGCTTGAAGGTCCTTTGGGGGACTTCAACCCATTTGGTGCATTAAGAATTTGTTGTTCATTCACTTTGCATTCTACTCGTGCTAGCGTGAAAGGACTTATTATTGATGCAAGTGATGTAGTCAATCGAGTGGAGATATTCTTAAAAGATTTGTGTCATTTTAATGTGACATGATCAATCCAACTTTTTTTTAATTTAGAATTGAGGAAAATGATTACCTGAATTTCATAACGCAATATTATAAAAAAATGAAAACATTATTCGATTTCCCTTTAGAAATTATGTTATGTTGACTACAAAAATAGACCAAATCAAGAAAAGTCCTTTCACGCAATATTCATGATCTGTTTTCTTTGAATACACAAAAGCGACGATCGTTTGACTAGTTACATTTTTAATCTCGCATCGATCAATGATGGATACATCGAATTGAGAAAGGTAGCCACTTTGTAATTTTCTTTTTGTTAATATTAAAAGCGATAAGCCTCTATCTATCCAAGTTTTTACGCTTCTATATTAATTAACTAAATTATATCGGAATTATGCAAGTAAAAAAAAAAGCCTACTCTTGTGATTAGAACGCACACAAAACTCGAATTAAGCTTTTAAGAGGTTAGGAAGCACACGAAACTCGAATGGCACTAAATCAATCAATTTCCTAGGCCCCCAACAATCTCGAAAGTCTCACGTTACGTTTCGTTTCGTTCCGTTCCATTCCCTCTATAAATACACACCCTCCCACAGTCCCACTCCAACCCAATCCTCAGGTGCCCCAAAACCTTCTCTTCCCTCTCTTCCAATTCACCCCAATCTCTCATCAATCCTCTAGCAGACATGGATCAAGAACACACCCAATTCAACACCCTCACCCCCAACCCACCTCACAATTCCCTCCACAAGAAACCATCCACCCCTACTACCCCCACCCCCACCCCCACCACCCTTGCCAACAGCGGCAAGAGGACGCTGAGGGACGGCGGCGGGGGAGGCGGGTCGGGCGTGACGATGAGGTACCGGGGAGTGAGGCGGCGCCCGTGGGGGCGGTACGCGGCGGAGATACGGGACCCGCAGTCGAAGGAGCGGCGGTGGCTCGGCACCTTCGACACGGCCGAGGAGGCGGCCTGCGCCTACGACTGCGCCGCCCGGGCCATGCGCGGTATCAAGGCCCGCACCAACTTCGTCTACCCCACCAACCCGCCGCCTCTCTCTGACCACCACCACTTCTTCCATAACGCAGCTCCCTTCAACACCTTCCCTCCAAAACCCTACTCTCGAGACTTAACCAACATAAACACTAGGGGAACAGTCCTCGCCGCAACTCCCGTGGCGGCGCCGCCGAGGAACGCTGCCTCTCTGGACGTCTCGTTTTTCCTTCGCGACATTCTCAACCCTCCCAACACCGCTCCTCTGTACCCACCACCACCACCGCCACAACCACCGTCCCAAACTTCTTCTTATGCTCAGCCTCCGAGTCTCCACGTGCCAAATGAGTACCAGAAGCCACAAGCTCCGGCCGAACCGAACGAGGACGACGGCTCGTGCGGCTTCTTCCTTCAAGAATCTCCCGAGTCGGGCCTCTTGGAGGAAGTCATCCAAGGGTTCTTCCCCAGGAAGAAGAAGAGCTCGGATCAAGTGAAGGGTCAGTTTTGGAACGACGACCCGCACGGCCTCGGCGCCGTCACTTCGCCTCGCGAGCACATGCAGAGCTTGAACGGCCTCACCAGCCTACACCTGCAGACCTACTCGTGCGGCGGCGACAGCGACGACCTCGTCGGGGTTCCCGCCGCTGCTCCGTCGCTGTTGGATGTGGATGTGCTCCAGTACCCCGAATTTCTCGGCACTTTCGCAGCTAGGGTACATGATGCTTAAGCCGATCACTTGGGAGTCTCCACTATATTCACATATATATATATTTTTATATATTCATATGTTGCTTCTGTGTATTGACGATATAGTTCTGGAGAAAAAGAAAACTATGAACCTAGATTGAACGTCCAAGGAGTTTGTGCTTTGCTTTTTCATTTTTCTTCCATCTTTGCTGGTTTTTTCTCTAGGGTTTTGTGAAGACGGGTGTTGTAGCCATGTACTCCTCTCCAAATTCTCTTCGTCTTCTTCTTCGCTTCCCCTTGTCATCCTCTACATATGTGCCACTGTTTGGTTTTCTGTTCTCTGTCCGATTCTGTCTATGGTTGAATCGATAACAGGGTCATGTCGATGATTACTTTTCTGTCAGTTGCTAAGTGCGTGGTTGAACATAAGATGGGGAAGCTCGAAAGCGTCGTTAATGGTGGGTTGATGGGAGCTAATAATTTGCAGAGCGTGTGCGAGTTATTGATGAACGAGAGGGGCTCGAAAAAATGGCGGAGCGTGGTCTGCAACTGAGTTAATTCTCGAGGTTTGTTCTGGAGTTCATGGTGGTGAGCGTTGACCTTGGTAATGAAAAAAGCTGTGGTCTGTGCATTCCTTGGTTTGGCGACACAAATCCTCCGGGGAAGGAAAGGTTTTTTAACTTTTTTGGAAAAATAAAACTACTGATTGTTTGGGAAAAAAAATTATGGAAGGGAACAATGTTAAAATGAGTTTTAGGTGTACTTGTTAAGTTTATTAAATTCGCTTTGGTAATGTAAATCCTTTTCTGAAATAACTAATTGCTTCTTCAATTTTGGAAATTTCTCAAAGAAACTGTGTTACCATTCTTACATAATTTGGTGGTTCATCTTATTATATTTGTTAATAAGATTTTTATGAAAATGGTGAATCATGCCCTTTGTAATTTCTACTTGTAACACGGCCAGTACTTTGCCTCAGAAAATTTCATTTATAATTTAGTTCTCCCATGACCATGTTTCATAATCTTCTCAATCTGTTCTTGATGATTTACATTGTAAAGATGTAAGATTCCAAATTAGAAGGTGCAAAGCTTTTATTAAGAGAAACTAGAAATGATTTTTGGGATTTGTCATTTCTCTTATTATTGGTGATATACACAATCAATTTATTTCCTTTATCTTACATCTCATCACATGTTTAGTTAACAAAAAAAAGGGGGGATACATTTACATTTCATGTATTCGTGAAATTTTTTTTTTTTTTGGGAGATGAGTGGGGAGGGAAAATGGAAGGGTTGTAGAAAATTGGGTAAACTCTAAAGTTTTTGTGAGAAGCAATGAAATGAAGAGTTAAAATATACCCAATTTACTTCGAAAGTAAAATGAGGTAAGCCAAACTAATTTAATTTCTTAATAAGTTGCGTGAAATATGAATTTGTCCAATTTTCCCTAAGTTAATGAGAAATTAAGGTTCTTTTGACACATCTAGGGGTTGAATGAATTGCATGGATAAGTGAATTAGACATTGACTGATTAAATACACCGCCCTATTTAGTTTGTCACTTGAAGACGCTAATTAATTAAGTTGATCACTCAATTAATGACTTGGACTGTTTTTTTGGTCGAAAGAAAGATACCATTCGTATATAATACTCGAGAGGTACATAGAAGGCTTTTAAGCCTAGCAAATCCCAAATAAGTGCATAACAAAGCAAAAGCTAGAAAGTAAATAAAAAAGCACAATTTGTAGTTAGGAGCACACTTTCATCCCTCAAGAATATTTACTACCATAAACGATTGGCGGCCAATCACCAAATTCAGTGATGATCACATGTCGAGATCTGTAGGTGCACATCTAGGTTCAACGTCCTCATCACTACCGCCATGCAGAGACACCGACATCAAAATGTTGAAAGAACTCAGATCAAATATATATAAGGAGCTTCCAAATCTATACGTAGATCTAATTCGAGAGAGTAAAACCCCCAAAACTTGACTTAAATCCAAATCGGAAAAGAAGTGCAGCCTAATCTCGGAGAGGTTGTGAAGCCACATTAGGAACATCCTCCTCAGCGGTGGCTATCGACGGTATGAATGGCCAAATTGGTCTTGGACTTAAATAGTTGGAAAAGTACCAAAAACCATCCTTAACTTTTTATCTAGAATTTTCAGTATCCATCCTCTATTTTTTTTTTGAAAAACCATTTTGTATTTTGAGTTTTTGAGTGGCACACCAAATTGCATTTCACATTAATTAACAAGCTGAAGTCATTTTGAAAATTGCCACTTTCTTTTCTATATTGTCCCTATCATAAATCTAAATTCCCCAAAACTCCAAATAGACCCCCCTAGAAAAATCCCCACCCTGATCACCCTACTTTAGCCACAATCGCCATTGTGCATCATCGCCGCCGTGCCAGAAGCCATCGCGATCACCACGCCGCTCACCTTTGCCGGCGAGACCTTGAGTCCCTCAGCTTGTGTGTGTGTGTCTGTGTCATTTGCTGCATCGCCGCCTAGCCTGACGACTCCTCCATGATCATTGGACCTTAGCCTCATCCTCAATCCTCGAAGGACTCGGCTCCGCCATCAACGCCGTGCTAAGATCCGGTGCAATGGGCAGTCGAGAGAAGAAGCGTGGGATATCTCGTGAACCCGTCCATGGTCCTTAGCATAAATTGGTTCTTGAAAAGGGAAGAGAAGACAGCAGGTAGCACGAAAGGACGAAGAAGAGAGAACGAAGACAACGCAAAGTGATGAGAAGACGCTCATCATCGTCAAATGCAAGAGTCATTAGCAATTCATCATGTTGAAACTAATAAAACTTTTGTCAATCCATGTTGATGAGCAATCTAGGCAATAGCAAAAACAAATAACTCTAAGGCTCCGTTCGTTTGGCGGAAAATATTCTCCTTTTGAAAAATATTTTCCCGGAAGTCATTTTCCTGGAAAATATTTTCCCGGAACATAATTTTCCGGTGTTCGGCGATCAATATGAAAAAGTTTCGGAAAATATTTTTCGCCGGCGTGGCGGCGCGCCAACGGCCGCAGCGGCCGCGGCAGCAGCGGCCGGCGGCGGCAGCAGCATGGCGCGGCGATTGACGGCCAACGTTCGGCGTCCGGCGGTGGCGGCGGCGGTGGCGGCGGGCGAGCGGCAGCGCGGCGGCGCAGCGGCGGCGGCCGGCGACCTTAGTGAAGAAGAAGAAAAAGAAGCTCCGGAAAATGATTTCCGCTTTTGAAGAAGCGGAAGTCATTTTCCGTAGACTTAGGCTATTTTATGAGGGGGGGAAGGAAAATATTTTCCCACGGAAAACGTTTTCCGCCCTCCGAACACGGGAAAATCCGGAAAATATTTTCCGGGAGAATATTTTCCGCCAAACGAACAGAGCCTAAGGCTCCATTTATTTTGCAAATAAATTAACATATCGGAAAACGATTTATAAGAAGTTGTTTTTCTAGGAAAACGATAAAATTTTTCGATATTTGATTGAAATTTGAAAATGAATTTGAAATAATTTTTTGTCGTTTAGAAAGGAATACCTGCTTTTATTTTCTTAAATAGACATACATTATTTGGACGCTAGTAACTTGGGCACGGGTAGCTAGGGAAACGGGTGCGGGCACCGGGGTCTCGGGCCCAACCTAGATGGATCCAAACCCGGGCATCAAGGACGCGAGCATAGGCATTGGGGTTCGAGGCATGAGCACATGCACTAGTTGTGGGTCCAGAGAAGCCGGTCCCAAGAAACCATCTCTGGGCCCATGTCCATAGAGACGAGTCTCTGGTTTATATACCAATGTCTAGTCATAGTTTGGAAAATAATTTCTAATTTTTGAAAGAGAAGATCATTTTCTTGAATTTAACCATAGGTTTTCCATTGATTAGGAACAAATTTATTGTTGACTCATTTCCTTCGATCCAAACCTAGGAAAATGTTTTCTCATAATTTTTTTTTCACGGAACAAACAGAGCTTAAAGGAATAACAAAATTCAGTGCGTTTGTTTCACTGAAGATTTCACGACAAAGGAAAATATTTAACTAAAAATCATTTTCAAAGAAAATGGTTAGTTTTCATTTTATTGGTAGTTAGGGAAAGGTGATTTCATCCTTGCTGGAGTAGGAAGTCGTTTTCCCCGATCTAAGTTTGTTGTTTTTAATTTATGGAAAACGTTTTCAGCCATTGATTAGTTTTCGTCATCCAGAAAGAAAAGTCGAAAATCAATTTCTTGAAATTAGTTTTCTTCAAAAAAACGGACCCTAAGTAATTATTTAAAAGATAATGCTTCACACTAGTATGCTAACCAAATGAAGATAATGGAGAATCTTACCCTGCATCAATATACTTTCACATCCTTACAATCTCCAGAGCTTAATGTTCATAGAACTTATGACTGGATTTATTTATACGTAAGATTCCTTTTCTTTTTAAGTAAATAGTAGATTATTGCTTTTCTAGCCAAAACACAAAATATTGTTTACTTTAAGATAAAAACAACAATATATCAATATCCGACTATTTTGAATCATTTCAAGTATTTCCCTTTAAATAAAAGTCAGATTATGAATAGAACAAGATTTACAAAAACTTAAAAAGTAAAGTCACAATACCAAAAAAAAAAAAAAAAGTAAAGTCACCCCCAAACAATTTTTTATCCAGAAAATTCTAAAGATCGGTTCAGGTCCATTTTAAGTTAGGTTATTCTTTCTCTTTATAGCAGTCAGATGATGTCCGGGTCGGTTGTCACACACCTTAACTAGTCCACCTCTGTGGACGATCTTAAGTTCGCACGTATTATTATCAATAAGCAAACGTTGTCGACGTTCTAGAACTTTGGGAAGGGGCTATGCGATGGAACAGAATGACATTCTAACTGATTTGCCAAACTACAGTTTAAAGTCCCATGAGTCCTTTTCAAGGTGGACAAGAAATTTCACAACTTAAACGGGAATCACATGTGCATCTATCTGTAGCTCTTGTACGCATCCACAAGAGCATGGACCAGCCATTCTTTCCTCAAAGCCATTAAGAATCCAAATCTAATTTACAGCCCTCTTCAAGCATTAAATCAAATCTGATTTATTATTGTCGAACCAAAAAATTTACCTTGGTAGCAATACCATTTGATCTAAAACTTTGTAGAAAAGGGTTTATGCAATGCCTCCCCTAAGAGTCCATTATTGTTGAACCAAAAGCAAATTGATAATAAATAGCTGACTCCTAGAGGTACTACCACTTTACAGAAGTGGGGTCATTGATTAACCAAACCCTAATCGAAAAGTCTAACCTTCCTCTTATAATAAAAGTAGAGTTTAATCACGGAAGTAGTTATTATTTGTGGGTAGATGCTGGACCATGCTTTTGGTCCTCCAGATTCCCAAATTCGTGATTAAAAAAGTTAATTAAAAGATGTCAACACGGCATTAATCTCTAGAGGACAGCAAGCTTTTGCACCCGGAGATGTTTGATTTCCATTTCTCTTCCTTAAACTGCTTGCAAGGTGACATTTCCGACTCGATCTAGAAACTTGTTTCTACGACATGTGTCAATGTCACATAGCTTCTATTCAATGTTAAGCACTTCGAACCATCAATTTTATCTTAATTATCTGAATTTGTGATGTGAAGGTTCGGGAGTTTCTGGGGTTTGCCTTGGCATAACAAGGTTTTTGGTACTCAAGCTTGGCTAGGTAGTCTTGGCCAAAGAAGGAAAAACATTGAAAATCATGTTTAGCCGATCATGATAACCAATTGCGGCTCAAATGAAATCTGCTTGTGCTGTTGACATACCTCAATGTGGTCCCGTCGATTAGACATGGACATTTCGATGAAAGCAAGTCAATTCCCGTTGGAGTCCATGGAAAAATTAGCAGAGAGAAATTGTAATTAACTCGTTTATGTAGCTATGAAAATCTTTTCTTTTAATAGATATCCTGCTTCGTAGTTGGCTTAGTAAAATAGGAAAAGAAAGCTTACTTTGGAATTCATAAGCAGATCAATAGAATGTATAGCTTAAGTTTCATTTACTTATGTTTAGAAAAAAAAATGTTTCTTGCACTTGAGTAGGCAGCAATCCAAACTGTTTCTTTCCATAGCGCCCCCAACAACACATGAAAGAAAATATGTTCCCAAATTAAAAATAATAGAGATATAATTTGCTAGTGCTAAATAAGTGAAATGAGTCTTAATGAGAGAGATTGTTTAGTCATGTATGACGTTAGTGGGTATTTGATATTATTTTTACATTGTACTTTTCTTGTAACATTTGAGATTGAACTTTTATTTAACTCAACATAAATGACTTGAAACATTTTCAAACTATAGAATATATTGACATATCTAGTTACAGATTGTACTTTGTATGATTCTTGGAGACTTAAAATACTTTTTTCCGTTTTCAAAATTTTAGAGAGAAAATATAGTTGTTGTTGCTATAATTGTTGCAATTGCTGCCGATGGAATAACAAGGAAGTCCATCTTAAGCATGTGAATCCCGGGTCTATGAAATTTTCTGATAACCTTATAGACTAGACAAGAGACGAGTCAAAATTGGGTTGATGGCTTAAACACAAAATCATTGCACTTGGTGGTGTGAGAATCGAGCTTGTGCCATGCGCCGAATGTGTGCCCAACACGTGTCCTTTCATTATGACTAAGCCATCCCCATGATTTATTTTTGTTTTTTTAAGGAGGAACCACGCAAGCAGCAATGCTTATGTAACGTTTATAAATTCCATTGAAGGGTTGGAAAGGTCAACAGTTGGAGGGTCTTACGGTGGCATGAAGCCCAACCAGTGACTTGGGCCGAGTTGGTAGCTCGACTTTGGCCATGTTGGAAAAAACGTCAAAATACAAGAAAGTTGAGAAGATTTGTGGTGTGTAGGGATCAGCAAAGCCCAATTCTCTACAATTGTTGGGTCGTCCCTGTCACTATATTTTTTATTGGATTGATTTAGGGATAGGGAAAATGATACAAATAGTTCCTAAATTTTAGTTTAATATGTAATGTCGTTCATGAGCTTTTAATTTGTTCAATGTGATCTCTGAACTTTGATCCATTATGCAATGTCGTCCATAATTGTTTAATTTGTTCAATGTGGTCTCTGAATTTTGATTCAATGTTTAATGTGGTTCCTGCACTTTTAAATATTTTCATATAATCTAGGGATTACATTGAATACTTACCAATAGTTTATGGACCACATTGAACAAATTAAAAGTCTAGGGACAACATTGCAGATTAGACCAAAGTTTAATGACCACATTGCACACTTGACCAAAGTTTAGAGATCATATGTGTATTTATTTCCTATGGATATTGGCTATTAGAGTAGTTTGTCATGTTCGTGGACAGAGAGAAGACAACAGCACAAATGTCATAACTTTTCAGACGATTACTCATTTGTCGGAGAATTCGATGCGGTATTGAAATTTGTGCACTTGTGGTGATTATTGTTTGGAAACGAGCGAGTGACACTTTGTGGCATTTTTTCCTGTGGATAAATATAATTGGGATTTTTTCTAGGCTTACTTTGTAGTTTTTTTTTTGGTCGCTAGCTTACATTGTAATTATATGGTGATAACTCATCACTTTTGTAATCTAGGTTTTCACATAGCAAATTCCGAGCCATATCTTCCTTGTGGACGTACATGTAGGCCATGCTGGTCGAAGTCACATTGACCTATAACTATTTTTTGGGCCGATAAAAAACAAAATCTATATCTGCTTTTGCTTATTCTAACTGTGGATGAGTATAAGGTTTCGTGGTGCCAATGACCACGTCACATTTTGCAGATCACGTAGATCATGCTGTCGGCTAGACTTTTTGAAAAATTTGTGGATATAACGACACTTGATTTGATCGACTATATACCACGTTAGCATTTCAAGTCCAATCAGAAGCTTCATGAGCAAGATCATTGTGAAAGTTCATGCATCGTATTTAAAAATTACAGATACAAATCGAGGGTTTAGTCTTTAGTCCATTTAAAGATACAAACGGATTGACTTATATATTATTCTTTCTTTATTCCGAAATCTTAATTAAATTGAAGAAAATAATGTTTGTTTTCGTTGGGATTAAAAATACTTAAATATCGAGGATTTTTCATCTTTATTTGATTCGGATTTATTGTTTTATGAGAATAATTACTTAGTATTCAAATCGCTTTGAAAATAAGAGACCTCTTATTGGTTTTGTTTGGCCAATTTCCAAGTGGGCAAAAGGTGATGGTTGGCCCTCAATCTAGATTCCATATGGCAAATTCAAGGGAGAAGCACCAAAGCTTCGAAATGACTGTCTTTTATGATTATATTGGCAGTGAAAAGAACTTATTGATGATGTGTATGGCATTGGGATGATGAAAGATGAGTGCATGTGATCCACCGTTGGAACCGGGGAGAGAAATTGATGAGGCCCACGAGAATGTCTGCCATAATAATTAAAGAGAGACCATCTATATATTTCCCTATTTTTATTTTGCAAAAAATATAAAAAAATCATCTTTGCATTTCAACGTCATATCAATTTGCATCTCGAGCTTTGATAACCTACGATTAGCATCTCAAATTTCATCTAACATCTAATCCTATTTATGAATTTGCCATTTTCATTTCAATTTTGTTCTTCTCACCATTTCAAATCCACCCATAATGAAAACTCACTTGCCCAAAACCCTAACCCACCCACTATTTAGCCCCTCTCTAACTGGAACTACTGTCGCCCATCGTGCCATCGCCACTGGCCTCCAACTGCCACCGTAGCTGAGCCACAGCCAGTTGAACATTGCTAGCATCGAGCTCCATTCACATATGTCGAGTTTCGCTAGCGTCGAGCTCGAGTTAAATTTGCTTGACACGTTGACCCAGATATGAGTCGAGCTCAACCCTTGCTTGTGCTTGGCCATGGCTAAGAAGAGAGAGACATAGAGAGCATAGTGTGTGAGAGAGAGAGAGAGATGCACAGAGGGCTTTGCCAAGGTTGATGGCGACATGGTGGCAGTGTGGCATAGGTCGGGGTCGGTGGTGGGAGACCATGATGCGGAGAGAGTTTAGGGCGTGGATAAGATCGAGGGTAGGTTGGTCTTGTTGGATGTGAAAGTTATGTTTGGAGATACAAATCGTAGATTTTCAGAATTCACGGATGCAAATTGATATTGAAATGAAAAGTGAAGATGGTTTTTAAAGTTTTCGCTATATCTAATTAGAAGCGCACATATCTCTGATATTTCTACCAAAGGATGGAATAATTGCCAAGTAGTCCTAAACTTATTATACGAATGTCAATTTAGTCTTAAACTTTCCAATTTTGTTACCTTTGGTCGAAATTCTAATGTGGTCCTTCCGACTAATTATCGTCAGAAATTGATGATGTGGCGTGTGGTCATTTTCGGCCATCCTATGTGACATGTTGACTTTAATCAAAATGACATCCTACGTGGATCGCCATATTAGCAATTTTCAACAGCAATTGGTCAGAAGGATTAAACTGGAATTTAACACAAAAGTTTAGGATTGTATTGATAAATTTAAAAAGTTTAAGACTGTATTGATATCCGTACAATTAGTTTATGACTGATTTGGCAATTTTTCTAATAAAGGATTGCTCGATATGATTCTCACGAGATATATGCTACTTCACCTTTTACATTTTAGAGAGATGGGAAAATACAAGATGTGCTTCCCTGTTTATGATGGCTTCTTTTTGAGTGGTTGAAGCATTATCAAAAGTGACAAAATTAGGTGGGACGTTGATGGACTTTGGATCATCACTCCCGTGAGAGAGAGAGAGAGAGAGAGAGAGAGCAGTTGGGATATATTGCTTTCATTATCGTTCAAGTTTTTGACTCATTACCTTCCTTATCTTCGCCCTCTTCAAATTCCAAATGCAACTTCAGTTTAGTACTTGAGGCCGTATCTTCTTCTCAACATCCAAAGCTCACGTGTCCAGATGTTTTGCACCAAATCGTATAGCTACACATTGCTTGACTTATGTCTTGCAGTTATCTAGACATATATGTTTGGTTCCGCCGAATCTGACAACTGATCCAAGCCCAATTGAATTATGCTTGCAGGAATTAGGAAATAGAATGGAGAATCAAGAGATTGCCAAGAATAAGGATTTGAAGGTGGAGATTTCGTGCGAGAACGAGATCCCCGCCCCATCCGTTCTCACGAGGCAGCCGAGCGCCACCAAGAACACCTGCCTGTGCTCGCCGACCACCCACCCTGGTTCGTTCCGGTGCCGGCTCCACCGTGCGCCGTCGCTCCAGAGGACAAGAAGCATGGACACTTCATCGATCTTCACTCAAGATTCACCCACAAAAAGCAGTTGACAAGATCCCATTCCAATGAAATGCTTTGAAGGTTAAGCTAAGCTATGGTTTTTGGATCAAAGTGGTCTCCTTTTGATGTGCTGTAGATATTCTAGTTTTTCTTCATCTGCTGAAGAGGCTAAGTCTGATGGATCAGCGCCCGGGTAATGCAAAGGACTGTGTGTTTGTCAGCTATTTTGCTTCGACATGGATGTCTTCGTCACTGTTAATTGAAGATTAGTAAATACTTTTGCATGGCCGATCTGAATTTTATCATGTAAACCTCGAATGTTTATCTTCATACAAGTTTTGCCTGTTTTTTTTTTTTCACTAAGACCTAATTTTGTTTAGGGTTTTTATTGCACATTTTGGATAAAATTTGATCTGCACAACTGAAGCTGGACGGATGCCATGTACAGAAAATTTTATATTAAGGAAATGTGTAGGACATATTGTCGCTATTTGACTCAAGATATGCTTAGAGAACATACAGTTATAAAGGAAATGTGTTATACTTGAATCATTGTGTATCAAATGATTACATATACCTGTTGATGGTTTTCTTATTACATCAGAGTTCTGTTTGTTTCATGAAAAATCAATGATTTGAAAAATATTTTCCAAAAAATTAATGATTTGGAAAAATCGCTCGTATCGTTTATAATAACTAAATGAATTTTTTTTATTATCGACGACAATTTATATGTTAACAATTTTGTGGACGATAAAAAATTTTCCATTCATTTATTTTTATAAACGATATGAGTAATCGTTTTTAGGAAAATATTTTCTAAATTATTTATTCTTTGTGAAATAAACGAGCCTGCCGACCTAGGTTTTTCGATATTGTAGGATTTTGTCTCTCGAGTGCAGATTGATGTGCTCTATCCGTGGACGAAGACAGGCACCACCCACATCATGTTCCATTTGACAACTAAGTTGAAGAGACACTGTTCTCTAAGTGCTAATCATGGTATGCAAGAAAGTGAATAATAACACGAGTGCATCCAGTCATCCATAGTTCCGTTCAAGGCAATTATTGCATGTCAATGTTGAGAACGGGATATCTATTCATATTTCCACTGATCAAAAGGGCAAAGTTTTGTCAATGTCACATGGATAGGTGACTTGGACATCTTGGATCTCTTACAGCACCTCCATGGAAGTGACTAATAGTATGTTTTTTAGCGTTAGGGCCCAGCACTTATTGATCAAAGACATGGGCGGTTTCTTTTGATTTCTCTAGCAAAAGATAATTATGCATTCGGATAATAAGGCCCCTGAGTTTTTTCGATTGGTGCAATGTCGTCCCTCGTACATTTTTTATGCGATCGTGTCCTTAAACTATATGTCTGTTTGTTCATATTGACCCTTTTGCTAAAAACCCGATGAAAATAATGACTATGGTTCATTAAGTGTGATGCTCGCATCCATGTTACGCCTAAACGGATATCGAAAATTTAGAAGATAAAAAAAAATTGCAAATTCTGGAGAGAGAGGGAGGGACCATTGTCGCCACCTGGCCGCTGGCCAAGGTCTAGCGACCCTCACCAGTGGCTAGGTTACCAACGGCAACACCCTCGCCAGTGGCTGGGTTACCAACAGCGACCCCCGCCCCTCCTCTCTCGCTATTTGAGTCCTTACATGCTTGAAATTGAACATAAATGGCGAAGTCACAAACTGCTAATTCCAGGTGCTTCTCTGCCATCCTACCCACTTCGCTGGTGAATCGGCAACAAGAATGAAGATTTCATTGTTCTCTCAAGTCTTCTGGGAAAAGCAAATCAATCATTTGCAGCACTGGAAAATCACCAAGTAATGGATTTTGGTTAGTTCCTCACCTGGAGAAACCAATTTTGCAGATCTCTCTCTCCCAACATTTTTGGGTGATTGAAGTCTCTCTCTCCATGTGCGTACGGTGGCCGACGCAAGCCGCTGGTCAGTGCCTAGCCGTCGGCAAGGGTCGCTTGACCCTAACCGGGGGCTAGGTGGCACTGCCACCTATGACCGGCCCTTCCCCTTCCCCCCTCTCTCTCTCTTAGAGTTCGAATTTTTTAATTTTGTAAGGTACTAATTTTTGTACTTCGATGGATCAAGGAAAAGAAATCATGGCTATGTATATACATATTCTAAATAAATATATCTAATTAGATTCGCACAACTTGCTCATGGTGCAGGTCCCACTTTAAATCGTGCTAATTTTATCCAACCCCGTCGATCACAAATAAGCAACTAAGCTAATGTAATGGCATCAGTGAAAGCGGCGAGAAGAAGACAGAAAGGGAGGGGGAGCCTGCTTCTACTGCCTTCCCTTTATAATTCCAAAACACAATAATAGACTTGCAACTAGGGTACAGGAAAAAGCTTCTCTTTTGATAGTGGGGGGTTTGTGATTATTAGCATTTATTCATCCTTTCTCATCTAAGGCTTCTTAAGATACAAACTTAGAGTGCTCAGGCACTTAACCATTTTGAGATATTACTAGCAAAATTACCTTTGTTGATTGTAACTCTTGATGAAAGGGTCTATGTTCAGAACAAAAATTTAGCAAATGCAGGTATTCAATCTCCTTGCGGCGCTTCTCTTAGGTCTTACCCTATCGGGACCAACTTTTAGCATCCAGCTAAATCCTTATTCCAAACATAAGGCCTTTTGGCCTCAGTTTCCAATGCACAAGATTCTCATGGAGGCAAGCGCAGAACACGTTACCAGGATAAAGTGTTATCTTACCATTCTAAAATTTCTAACACCAGACAGAAATTTAAGGAGAGGAAAGGAGAATTAGCTTTGCATAGTTAAAGCATTCAAACACATGATTTTATTTTGGAGGCTAGTCTTGCCTAAGATCGATTGGCTTTATGAGGTAACTTACTTCAATGAAACTGAGAAGATCTCACTTACTACCCTCTCTCTTGTAAATTCTTATGCTTGAAGTATCATAACTTTCTTATGGTACTCACTTTAGTGCCAAATTGTTTTGTTGGATCTCTTAAATGTCATTTTTTGAAAAAAAAAATCATTTAAGTGCCAACTCCGATTTGGAATGTCGGAAATCTAACGTGATAAAATTCAATGAAAAAGCCCTTAAACAATGTTGCTACACATGAAAAGCCCTAAATTTTCTCTCTTCTTCAAACCCTAATAGAATGCTTGCTGACTTGTCTCAAATTCACCTCTCCTTGAAACACTAATTCAAATCAACAATTTTTAGAAAAAATGAAGAGCCGAATCTTGAAATGGAGAGGAGAATAAGCAGAAGCGGCTCAAGTTCGCGTCGACGAAGCCAAGACGAAGGTGTTCAACAACCACCAAGCCAAGCCCTAATTTTCCTCGGAGAGAGAGAGAGAGAGAGAGAGAGAGAGAGAGAGAGAGAGAACGATTTGTCCATTTGAGAGAGAGATTAAGGTGCATCATTTAGGTATGGAATGACCTCTTCATTGTTCACGTTAGACTTGTTTCTTTCTTCTTCTTCTTGTTTTTTATTTTTGTAAAAAAGCCACATCTGGTTTAACATTTTATTTATAAAGCCACATAAGACATTTTGCTGGAGGCACTTAAGTGATTGTGTCTTCTTCGATTGGGAACTTAAGTGATTAGGCGAAAAGTTTTGGCACTAAAGCAAGCGCAGCATGAAAGTTATATTATTTCTAGTGTCCTTTTCCCACGCTTGATATATGTGAATTTAGACTAGTCTACTTTACCATTTCTAACAAATTACTCAAAAAGTCATAAACCTATTGTATGGATGTCAATTCAATCTTAAACTTTCCAATTTGGCCAATATAATCCTAAACTTTTTAATGATTTTTCAATATAATCCATCCGGTCAATTTAGGTCAGAAATCGCTGATATGGCGATCTAGCTAGTGCCGACCGTCCTACATGACATGGCCGGGGGCTGACATGGAAGAAATAAATAATAAGATAGCAACTGAAAAGAATCAATATAGAACTTGAAATAATAAAGCATCTTTCAATTTTAGATTGATATGAAAATAATAAGATAGCAACTGAAATAAAATTATATTTAGAGTATTAAAAAGTTTCACATTTTTAAAGATACGAAAGATTAATTACATCAATAGTTCACTTAAGTTAAAAACCGAATTCAATCAGGGGTTGTAAATTTTCACTGCATAAATTGTAAGTGATTATGTTAAGAAGCAAATATTTCCTCATCAATCACCTAAAGTAAAGTTGATTTACATGTATACAACAAGCAAGGAATGAATAATAAAAATAGTTAAAAAGTACGAAATTAAAAAGAATAGCCACACCTTAACATATTTCTCATAAGTAGCCGCACCTTATCATGAAATTTAAGAAATTGCCACAAGCTTGGGGGGTTGAGCCGTAATTGTCACCGTAATAAAGTTCAAATCGCTAACCTTGGCTGGCTACACATGATCAACTCTTTAAAAACCTTTTGGTAAGTCTACTTCTTCTAACTGTGATTATTTGACAGCAAAACACTGAAGAAATCTTGTAGAGAGGGTTTTCTTCAATCAGCAAAACACGATTTGATTCGGTTCGGTTCGAGATCTAAACGGTTCGGATCGATCATGTGAACAGGTAATCACCAATATCGCTAGCGAATCTATCAATCACTAGCGACTATAAGTTCTGAAATGTATCCATCGATTTTTAATCGATTTGTAATTTTCTGTATGTTTACCAATGAAATGATATAACTTTACTCATATTTGAATCTGTATCCATTGATGGGTTTTCATGAAAACGTATGTTAAATCTTAATAACAAGATCGTGAATCTTTATATGTGTAAATTAGAGATAATCATGTTAAGAAACAAGAATTTCCTATTCATCAATAATCACATAAAGCAAATAAGATATATAACAAGCAATGAATGAATAATAGAAATAGTTAAAATGTAAAATCTAAAGAGAACGGCCACACCTGACTGTTGAAATTCCGGCAACTTGTTATATTCCTTTCTATTATATAATGGATCATCCCTTATCAAGAACTCTTGCCAAATCACCAGCCTTTCTATTACGCCAGAATGTACTACCACCGTGGTCATTCATTCCTACACCAAGGCCGAAGGCATGGCAGATGAACTTCACTTTGCCCTTCCCTTTCACTTAGACGAATATAGCTCGTAACGTTTTGCTATAAGTGGGCATACCCTTAACATGAAATTTAGGAACCTAAGCTATATTCCTAACTTTAAAAAGTTCAAATCCTTGACCCTTTTCGGCCTATTGAAATAAGTTGTGGGGGCTCGAAGAGGCATCAACCCTTGCTTGCCCCTCCTCG